TAAACAGGGGTGGAGGCCTCCAGGTTCAACTGTCCCCCTCTTACAATACTGTGATTGCTAGTATCACTCAGCCCTCTGTGAATAGTAAACAGCCATCAGTGTGCTAATGATCCATTGTTAGGCTGATGGTCCTTCTTGATCATGTGAGAAGCTGGTTCTGGTTGTCAGCAGCAAACTGGTTGATCCACTCTGAGAAGGTGCTATTTAAGAGACTGAGCTGAATACAGCACCTCAGACTGAGGAAGTCTCTCGGATGAGAGACGAAACGTTTCTACATTTTTTTGTTGTTTTGCTTTGTTTTGTTTTTTTTGAATGTCCAGAGGACCAGATTGAACTTTTTTGGATTTTTCTACCTGGATTATTGAGCATGCATCAGGATATTGTACAAAGGAGGTCAATCTTATTTTCTATTTCCTATATTCTCCCTAGTTTTATTTTTTTAATATCCTAGAACTTAAACAAAACTCCAGTTTTGATGCATATCTGTTGATAATGAACCAAAGCTACTGAAATAATGAGTATGCTTGTTAGAAAAATATTCCTGTCATCAGATCTCAGTTAGCTTCATTGCAGCTGAACACCGTGTTACACTGAACATCACATCAGCTGGTGGACATAAATATAGTACAGTAATATTATATTCATAAAATACTAAAAATAATATGTTCATCTTTCTTGTGAAAAGTTATCCCCCGAGACCTGACGTCAACAGTCCGTCGATTAGAACAGAAATAAGCTGCGAAGTGCTGAGACATCTTCTGCTTTAACCAAATAAGGACGACCGTTCCAAGATGGCGGCCGAAATTCCTGCGCCGCAGCAGCCAATGAGGCATCTAGTGTTTATATCTATGGTTGGTAGCACATTGCGTCGCTCGCCACATGACACATGCGATTCAAGGAGAGCCTTCTGCATAAAAACCACATTCTGTATCGTAGCGAAGTTATCAACAGTTCTTAATTTTTAAAGGAGACACAGTTAAAGAAGAGAAATGCCCAAGAAGGCGAAAGAACAGTCGGAGTGGGTGGACGATGATGCCGCCACGGGGGCAGGTGAGAATCTAGGAGAAAGCTAATGTTAGCATCACCGCTAACCGACGAGATGTCAGATAAACAAAACTTCTCTTTTTATTTCTACGTGCGGAAAACTGAGTGTCTCATAACTTACTGTAACTCCCTTGTTGTATGTTGAGCTATCTCTGTGTGAATCTGACCTATGATGATTTATTTGAATTTGAAATAATTATTTCTGTTCAAGCTTAACTTAAACAACACATATATGATCATAATTAGGTTAAGACACAAATAAAGAGCTAACCATAGCTTTACATTAAAGCGGTAGTTATATATTGTTGCAGAAACGCAGTAAACGTTAAAATAACACTAGAGATGCTTTCATTGTGAATGATGACACAGACAGTGGACCCTTTTCAAATACAGCTGTATTAGCTGATTTCTCTTTAAATCGTAGGGGACTCATGTAAACTATCATGTATATTCTGAATTCAGAATATACAGATACTCAAACAGTGCTTGTACATATAGATGGCAGATAAATGTTAAAATACAATCTGAGTCAGTGCTAGGAAAACAAGCATTTAAATTAATGGTAAATGGACTGCACTTATATAAATGAACAAATGTTTCAGCGGTCACTCTTTCAGGGCTGAAGATGTGCACAGGCTTGATGGAGAGGAACGCTGATTTGAGAGAGGAGTGGAGGAAGCCATCTTTGTGAAGAGAACCTGTCCATTGTGGGGTGGAGGCCTCCGTGTCCAACTGTCCCCCGTTTACAATGCTGTTATTGCTAGTATTACTCAACCCCCTGTGAATAGCAAAATGCCATCAGGACACTAAAGACCAATTGTTAGGCTGATGTGCTGGTCCTCCTTTTACATGTGAACAGCTAGTTCAGGCTGTCAGCAGCAAACTGGTTGATCCACTATGAGAAGGTGCTGCTTATAAGACTGAGTTTGTTGCAGCTCTTCAGACTGAAGCAATCCTTTGAATAAATGGTAAATGGACTGTACTTATCAGGGCCTTTCTACCTTATCAAGACACTCTTTACAACAATCTGTGCCTCATTTACCCATTCATACAGCACTACTAAATCTCTACAAAGAATAATCAGAGCTTTATCACATTCATACACCAACGGGACACACTGAGGCAGTGAAGGGTTCAGTGTCCTGCCCATGGACACGGCATGTCACTGCTGGTGGATTTGAACCCCCAACTTTTGCATTGGAGGACAACTGCTCTAACCACTCAGCCACAGCCGCCCAACATGACTCAGCCTTGTTAGATTTATGTACCTGGATTATTGAGCAGCATCAGGACATATACTTCCTGTTATTTCTGAATGTGGCTCTGCCTGCCACCTAGGACACTAAGCTCTGAGAGTGTTGTGCAACTTTTTTAAAAACATCTGGAATTTCAAGATTTACTTTGGTAAAACTCAGGGAAATTTGTTTACATGAAATGCTGGTTACTCTGAATAGGAAGTAAATGCATAAAGGACAAATGAGTTCTGGGTACTTTTTCTATAAATTCCTCTTAATTATTTTTATTTATAGAGAGGATGCCCTTGTTAGGCAGGTGGGAAAAATCAGATTCAATAGTTGAAACCCATATCACAGCTGAGTCAACTCTCAGAGTAAAGAGACATTTAACCTAATGTTAAAGTTTGTATGTATTCAGGCCTGTATGTTTGATTTTGACAGTATGGATTAGAGGACCTCCACAATAAATTTTATCTCGTGCCTCTAAATTCAGTGCGGTTGTGTGTTGTATCATCTTCCAACCTGGGAAATGAAATGTTTGTTCTAGATCATTTGTGTTTTTTATGAATTTGAATATGCTGCATCTTTCCAGCAGAAAAAACTGTGAAAAAGGGGAAGAAAGATAAAAAGGCAAAGAAGAATGTGAGTATCCAGTGATTTATTAAAATTAATAACAGTTGAAGTTTCTCCTGATGGCACAGTGCATCTCATTTGATGTGTTTGTGTGGATTTTATTTTATTTTTTACAGTTTTTTGAGGAACTCTCAACAGACAGCAAACCTGAGATGGTCGAGGAGGTGGCTGTGAAAGAACCTCAAGGAAAACAGGTGATCTTCACCGAGAAAAAGAGAGAAATGTAATTTCCTGTGAAAATGCATCATGAATGCTTGTTCTGAATGAATTAGCTGAAAGCTGCTGAAGGAGCTAAACCTTACTTAAAATACACCAATAGCTGAAAAGAAGTTAAAGGAGCACAGAAAAACTGGAATGATCAATAAAGTAGCTGAAAGAACTGGAATTATTAGAAATAATTTAAAAGTAACAGAAACATGCTGAAATGAGCAAAATTAAATAAATTAATAAATAAAGCCGAAATGAGTGTAAAAAGCTTGAATTATCAGAACCAGCACAACTCTTAACAGCTAAAATGAGCAAAAGTACGTACTCGCTTCAGAATTATTCGTAGGATCACGTTCAGTGTTTTTTTGACATTTTACTCTATTTTCAACCTCAGAAAAAGAAGAGAGAGCTGAAGAAAGGGAAACCTGCAGATGCAGGAGAGAAAGATGACGAGGATGTAATGCTGAAGCTGAAAAAGCTCTCTGTGCAAGCAAGCGATGAAGAAGACGAGCCAGGTAGGACGCCTCCAGACGAGCCGGCCGTCAAAACGTGGTCATTCACAGATATTTAATTAGTTTCTTTGTTTTTACAGTCATCACCACAAGCAAAGTAAGCAAAAAGGTTTGTCAGATGTCCACAGGCACATCATGCTCCCTGCTGTCCACCTGACTTCACATGTTGATTCTAAAAAAGTTCAGTCTGGTCCTCTGGACATTCAAAAGAACAAAAAACAAAACAAAGCAAAAAAATGTAGATACGTTTCCTCAGTCTGAGGTGCTGCTCACATGGTCAAGAAGGACCATCAGCCTAACAATGGATCATTAGCACACTGATGGCTGTTCACTATTCACAGGGGGTTGAGTGATACTAGCAATAACAGCATTGTAGAGCCCCTTATCCACAGGTCCGGTTCCTGTAGGACGTTATTGGGGCTTATTTAGGCCGGTTCCGGTGGGACTGGTTATTTCTGTCTCCACAGTGCCCATAGTTTCCCTTTAGTGGGCATATAGTTAACCTTTAGTGGGTGGATCATTAATGTCAACCCGCCTTACCAGCTGGTGGTGCTAGTGCTACATTAAGCTCTTTACTAACAACCACTAACATGTATTAGAAGAAGAATAGCTGGAAAAACACATGCAACCAAAATGGATGATCTTGTTTGTTTTGAACATTCTGCTTTGCCTGTGGCTTTTTCTCCTTTTATATGTACACACACACACACACACACACACACACACACATATATACATATATATATATACGTATATGTATATTGAATATATTGAATTAAATTGAATATATGTATATGTATATATATATATATGTATATGTATATGTATATATATATATATATGTATATGTATATATATATATGTATGTATATGTATATATA